CCCTCAGTGCCACACACAAAAAGAAGGGGAAGGGTCTTTGTCAACATATCAAGCTACGAGATCGGGCAGGTGCAGTGGTGCGCACCTGGAATCTCAGCATTTAGGAGGCTGAGGCAAGAGAATCACCGTGAGTTTGAGGCTCGCCTGGACTACACAGTGAGTTCAAGGCCAGGCTGAACTAAATGTCAATACTCTATCTAAAAAAATATTAAAACACAGTTTATAAATAAATACACTACTGTAAAAGTGTGCATGGGAATGAAACAGTGGTTCCTAGGAAAGGAGGGAGACGGTTGGCTTGAATTGTTTGTTACTTTGTGTTTCCTTACAAAGTTTCAAGTTGGTACACAGGACAAAGCTGGCGCTGTCTTTTAAACTGGGGTGGGAGTGATGAAGGACTGTTAGCTTATTTCCTGCATTTTACTGAATATTCTTGATGTTTCATCATAGAAATAAAGTACTCGGATTTTAAGGAGAAGAAATGAATAAGTAGCTGTTCAGTCAAAGACAACAGGACTGCTCTTTGTTCTGTTTCCATCAGCTACTTACAGAACTAAGTCGGAAAGATGTCATAACTGCCCAGCATTGCTAGAAGCACATTTTGGGCCCCTGCACTATTGTTAAGAATTGATTCCAGGGCCGCCTTCTTTTTAGTGTTGTTCTGGGTTTTTTTGTTGTTGTTCTGTTTTTCTGAGCCAGGGTCTCAATATGTGTGCTGGCAATCTTCCTGCCTCAGTTCTGGGCGTCATGGTGTACTCCTGTAATCCCAGCACTCTGGGAGGCTGAGGCAGGAGGCTCTCACATTCAAGCCCAGATTGGGCAACTGAGCTGTTTGGTAAGAGCCTATCTCAAAATTCAAAAATGCCAAGGCCCTGGGTTCGATCCCTGGTACCAAAAGCAGGAGGCTCCTCTGCCTCAAGGCGGAACTGGTGGGGGTCAGGGCTGTGATCTCCAGTCGAGCACACTGGGTGGCAGCGGAGTGGCTGGGCCAGGCCCCTGCACCGGACCTACAGTACGACCTGTGGCAGGGCCCACAGTGAACGTGCACGCAAGGCCCACACGGTGGGTACAGCGCTGGGGTCCAGGGCCTCCCCTCTGCCCGACCCAGACGCAGCCTCCGGCCACACAAAACCGCACCTCCCGGCCTCTGCGGAGCTCAGTGGGCACGAGCCGCTGCCTGTCCGTGGCCTCCGCTCTTACCTTGGCTGGAGCTGGTCTGGGTGCTGCGAGCCAGGCTGGGTAGCACAAGGGCCGAGGGCCTCTTTATATAGATCGCCGGTCACACCTGTGCTAGGGCCAAAGTCCCCACGGAAGCGGACAGGTCGGCCAGAAGCCGGCGGGCGGGGCCGGAGGGGAGGCCCAGGGAGGAAATACT